TATTCAAAACCCTTTGGGAAACACACGATTCTTTTCTCCTGGCTCTTCTGACCCACTGTCTCATACCATTCTTTGTTCCTAAGCAGATCCCACTCTCCGCAGGTCCTCGGTTCTAAAAGGATCTCTCTTCCAGGGTCTACCCCACAGCTGTCCCTCCTATTTCAAGTTCTGAATATGTTCATCTGGCCTACATCCCCTTATTTCTCCTTCCCTTTGCTGAAATAATTATCTAACACAATTATACTATTAGAAACATTATTAGAGTGTTTGTAAGAAAGACACGAAATAGAACATAATTACAATAAAAGTATCAGACATTCAAAAATCTAATAAGGAAATGTATCTTTCCATCTCTCTCTGCATAAGAAATTCATTAGTATGTTAAACCAGTGGCTCCCAGACTTTATTAATTAACATACCACCTTCTTGCAAGCATGATGTTTGTGGTACTACATGGAATTTTCTCCTTTCTGTGCAGTGTTTCATATCAAAACAGGGCAAGCTTGTATTTCCGGATGAGTACAATAAATACCTAAAGAAACTAATAATTTCCATGATAACTTGGGCCAGCCAGCAAACGGGAGTTGTGTCCTTTGAGGAATGCTGCAGGATCTGTGTTGTTTTCATGTGGAACAAAAGGATAACCTCTGGAAAATGTTAATAGAGAAACATAATTGAAGAAAGCAAAGACAGAGAGCCTGACAGAAAGCCAGAGCCAAACAGAGACTGTCCCAGAACAGATGCAGGCTCAGCCACCAGGCACTTTGCCTGCAAGCTAGGACTCGTGGATTTGGGTCTCTAACCCAAATCAAGAGAGGTGTCCTTCCTCTCTTGCATGTTGGGGGCTTTGCTTTGGGCTTTGCTTTCAGCATTGACCTGAGAAACCTCCTCACAGTAGATTAAATGAGACACAGGTTGCCCAGAGAAGTTGTGGATGTTCCATCATTGGAAGTGTTCAAGGTCAGATTGGATGGGGCTTTGTGCAACTCAATCTAGTGCAAGATGTCCCTGCCCATGGCCAGGGGGTTGGACTAGATGATCTTTGAAGGTCCCTTCTGACCCAAACTGTTCTGTGATTCTACAACCACTTCTGTCAAGAGGGATGATTTACCAAATCAAATGTTTCACCCAAAAGGTCCCAACCGCCTCTGATGACAGTACAAATTGTAAAAATCTCCTGCTTTGGATGGAATGCTGTGAAGAAGCACAGCCAAGCTGTCAGTAGTATTGTTCATGAATTTCAAGTCGTGTTAAAAACACACGCTGTAAATAACATCTTGCTACACTCTGGCATGCTGCTGAACAGCTTTCAGAGGCCTCCCTTCTCATCACACCTGACTGGATTGGAAACCCCTGCTAACTCTTACCCAAACTATCCATAATCACAAGCCAAAATTCACTTTACTCTTCCACACTTAAAAACAGCAACAAAAAAAATATTTCCCAAACTCTTTAGTAGATCTCAGGGTGAATGAGGAAAATGCCATGGGCAAGAGGTGGCATGTGTGTGGGGGGCTGCGGGTGCCCATGTTGGGGGCCTTGCAGAGAGGGACAAGATTTGGAGACAGCCCTGCCCTGAGCCATCCCTGGCCCCAGGCAGTTGGCCCCACAGCACTGCTCTGTGTTTGCGTTGGGGTTTTTTGGCCTGTCATTTCTG